GAGAGAGAGAGAGAGAGAGAGAGAGAGAGAGAGAGAGAGAGAGAGAGAGAGAGAGAGAGGGAGAGAGCGCGACTGCCTATCGTACCGTCGGCTCGCTGTCTCTCGCCGGCCATTATACGTCAGCATGGCATTCTGTGGAGCTATGTGACTTGTGCGTACGGAAAAACGTTATTAATAAGTTTAATTGAAATTTCCTAAAAAAATACATTAAAAAAATGTCAGTTTTGTTTAGCAGTAAGGCTAAAAAATCTCTCACTTTAATCGAACATATATCACGTTTTTTTCTCAATAACTGCAGTAACACCATGAACGTATGGCTTTATATGACGTGCCATTGGCCTTGTAGCTGATTCCGCTAACGACGACCCGTATAAACTTAGTCTAATATTAGAGCCCAGTAAAAATACGGAATAATAGGCGAAATTTACGCGCGCGCCCCGTAGATATGACGCTCGCACATCGCCTGCCCTCCATTTGTACTCAAGATTAGAAACAGCCTGCACGACACGCCTAAGCACAGCTAGGGGCGAGCCGTGTTTACAAAACCCAGTTTCGGGCTGTATATTTATATTACGTTACACTGCGTCTTCATCGTCCTCACTAGATTTCATCGAATCTAGCTGCTAGCTAGGGAAATGAGCTATAGACGTACGTCGTCCCCCAAGCGGCGTGTCTACAGCATCCCGTCGGCGTGTTTGTGTTTCGTGAAAAAACACAGCCGACATTTATTCGTGCAAAAGGAATGGCCGTCTCTGTGAGGTGTGTGTGTTCGTGCGTGCGAGAATGAGCTGTTTATTTCACACTAGTTATTTATCTCTTTTTTATTTTTTATTTCTTTAGTTATTTATCTCTCCTTCATTTTATTTCTGTAGTTAGGTTATCTCTCTTTCTTTTTATTTCTGTAATTATTTATCTCTCGCTTTATTTCCGCAGTTATTCATCTCTCTTTCTCGCACGTACATCAACCGCTTTCGTACACGCACTGTAGGTATTAATTGGCACCTGCAAATCTAGCGGTTCCTCTATTTTTTCCCTAAAAATAAATCGCTCAGAAATACGAGGTCGTCGTTTAGCCGTCGCTTCTCCCTTCTCCAGCGCGATTCCTAACAGACTCTTACAAGAATAATTGCGTATAAGCCGATAATGTTATCTTTTTCTTCTCACTATTCAAGTCGGGAAGCCTCGTGGTGGCTCACGTGCGTATGTATAGAGAGCTTGACGATGACGATAAGAAGCTGTATTTCACGTCCCCCCGGAAGACTGTTGTGCGTGTCACTTATTGCGACGCGCAATTTCACAGGATGTATTGTCTGTCGGAAAACATTTCACAAGACGTTGTACGCGCGCGCTCGACAAAAAAAAACCCATCTCGCCGAACCCATCAGCCGATATCTACATATTTTATGTCGTCTGCGTTCGGTCTTCTCTGTTCATTTGTGAAAAGTAGTTTCCACACATCCGCGCGTACGTTTACGGTGCAGAGCGTCCGCTCGAAATTACAAAAGATTGCAGTGGAACGAGACAAGCGTACGGGGGGTTTCAATCGAGGCGCGTATACGTCTCGCGACGTATTATAAATCGATTGCGCAAAAAGAAGTCGCTGAAATACAGTCGGTCAGCGCTTATAGTAGTTTAACTTCACGATAAATCGCAGAATGCGATGTTGAAAGAAGCGTTTAGCTGGACGAAATAAACGTCACGCTTGGCACAGATGTGACCTTTCTTAGAGAGAGGAAATAAAAGCGATAATCTTAACTGTGAAACTGTATATAACCAGAAAAAAACTTCCAATCATACAAAAATAATCAAAATGAAATCCCATCTGTGAAACCACGCGGTTAAGTCATAGCAATTTTTTAAATAAATACCTACTTAGAGAGACAACAATAGCGATAATCTGAAATGTGAAACTGATAGTACCGATAAAAGACACCCAATCATACGAAATAATCGAATTGAAGTCCGTGAAACCGCGGTTAAGCCATTGTAATTTTTTAAATAAATATCTACGATTACTCACATTTCAATGACGTAGTATGTACGATAAACCCGGACACATTGATATGATCATATAATAGTAACAGGAGTGTATAATATAGACTATATATATATATATATAT